CCATCTTGAAAACTCGCAAACCTGAAACTTTTAATATAATTTTTTCCGTAACTATTCATACGTTTTTTTATTAATCAATGATCGAAAGTTGTTTCTTAGATACACGTTCTTCATGATAAGCAGAACTTCAAGATGTTTATTAAACGTACTTAATATTAAGTTACTTAAAAACTGTTAATTAAATATAATTAAAGTTGAATTGTAAGGGGGGCCCAGAGTATGATCCTAATGTGTGTAATCCTATACTTTATATGACGTGAACCCACAGCGTGTCTCGCAAACATTGCAATAATTTATATTTTTGTAAAAATTTTATGGATAGGGTGAAAAACCTAAATAATAAAAACAGGGTGAATTTTCCTGCTAAGAAAAGTAACTCTAACTGAAATCCTGATTAATATGTTGACTTGTTTCTGTGACACCCTGCAGACTCTCTAGCTCTAGCTGAGTGAACCTAGGCTAGGACCGGCCAGAGAAACTGCAATAAATATCATTCATTGTAATATTTGGATCTAATTGCATTCTTCCTTTGCATAGAGCCACGTCGCGCCCCCGCCCTTGTCGAGCCCCGTTATCATTAAATGATCTTTTTCAGAAAAAAATACTTGTATTTATGGTTGATTTGTAAGTTGATCTTTTTTTCTTCATTTATTTAAAATGAAAAAGTATACTTATAGTGGCTTTTTTGTATTAAAATCGGTATTGAAGGTCAAAGCCAACTTTTTTGTTATAATATTTCTGACAGCTTCTTGTCTTAATTGTACTGATTCTACTAATATTTTTTATTTGCTCTTTATTTTGATCTAAACTTAATGGTCCAGGGTTACATAAAAGTTAGATATATATAAGTTTGCAAGATATGGAAAAAAAAACAATGTACATATTTCAATATATAATGTCTTTTTGAAATTTCCTGTAACAAACTAAATTTTTGTTTTGACCCACTTCCACTTGTCAGATTTTGATAAAATTTAGCTTTATGGAAAGCCTTTGACACAAGGAAAAGAATTTCACAAGTTTGCAAAAAAAAATTGCAAATTTTTTGCAAACAACCTGTCAAAGGAAATTTGCACATTTTTAGTTTTTCTTGATTAAAAAACAGGTTATTTAAAATTTTGCAAAAAATATTGCATATTTGAAATGGCATGGTCAAGTGCTTTTCAGAAATGTATAATTTTTCATTTTTTGGACAAATTTTTTTTTGCAAACATTTTTCTATATAACTGAATTTTGCGATTAAAAAATTCAAATTTTGCAAATTTGCAATTTTTTTTGCAGATTCTAAAAGTGGAGTACAAGAGCTTTCCAATGATGTATCATTTGTCATATTTGGACATCAAACATGGGATTTAGAGGGGGGGCCCTTCCCCCCCCCCCCCCCGGCATATCCTGGTTTTCAAGTACCCCAGCTGAGATAGGGTTAACCCTCCTAATACTTCACTGTCAAATGTGGTTTAAAACCCTATCCTATCAAGTATTAAACGATAAGAAAAGTCGCCAATTTTTTAATAAGTTATTCGAAGAATTTGAAATATCTGAGTGATGAAAATTAGACACTCCAGTTCCTCCAGTGTGCGTGCAAACTTGGTTTTGCAATACTCCACTGTTCTAAGATTCTGTCTTATTTTTTTCTCTGAACATTGATTTCAGACAAATTATATTCTAAAAAAATATTTGTTATCTACCCAACGTTTTAGACAAATTGGCCAAAGCCTGGATGTTTTTCGCACCCCTGGCGAATGTATTGAAATCGTGCCAATTTTACGCTAGGGGCGATCAAAAAGTTCTTGATGGTAGATATCGATTATCTTTATGTAAACTTACTTTTAAGTAATTTTTCGCCAATAACTAAAATATATAATAATTTCACTAGAAATTCATTTTTTATTCTGCGTCAAGTTTGAATCAAATTCCCTCTGTTCTTATTTGCAATTCTGAATTCCCCCTCGTTTCCTCCCCCTATATAGTTCTGTAAAGTATCTGAATTATGTCGAATGCATGTTGATTGTTGAGTTTCTTTTCATGAATCCTCATTTCTGAATAAACGGATAAATTTCCACTTGTGCTGAACATGTGTAGGAATATGGGAGTAAAGAATAATTCACTTGGTATGCGTCAAGATGCGTTTTATAGTCTGTGGCATATTTGACGCAAATCGAGCTGAATTGTTATCTTTTTTTTAAACGTTTTTTTTCATTCTCAATCTCTTATTCTATCTTCTATAAAAAACATTTAATGTTTTTCATCTTAATCATTTTAGATTTCCTTATTAAATTTATTTTCCTATTTTTTCATCGTCCATTTTTTCCTTTTCTCCGTCTTTCCTCTTTGAATGCCCCCATCTTCGCTCTTCTTTCTTTCTCCCTTTCTCTATCTTTTTTTCCGTTTTCTCACGTTGTCTGTTTTCTAGCGCATAATGTTTTTCGTTAAGTATTTTCTAAAGGGTTTGGCTTCAGGGTTGTATTTAAAGATTCTTATTTTTGGGCTTTTCTTAAAGAAGAATTTTATTCCTGGAAAATAAAATTTTTTGTGCGTATTTTTTCTACAAACTATTTTGGTTTTATGTTGCTGAATGATGTTAAATAAGAAACCTATGATGTATTTTGCTACTATTTGTCCTTGACTGGCTGCACTAGAGGTGTACTGAATATAGAACATGACACCCCCCTCCCCACTCCTCCTGTAGTCTAGTTCCGGTTTATACAGTTCTGCGAACTATTTCTAGCCTTGCAGATATCTTAGCTGTGAGCTAGAGAGCTAGTTACTCCTTTAATGATAGGGCCGGTGCAAAGGGGTGTGTAAGCTGGGACATTAGGGGGTACATCAGGGGGTTTATTAGGGGTGTACTCCGGGTTTATTAGTAATAAATAAGGCCCCAGAGACATTATTAGGAATCAAGGAGACATTAGGATTGGGGTATTATACATATATAGAGCTATAGATGTACATTATGAAAGCGAGTTTTGTCTTGAATTGTGGTATACTTAAAAACGGGAACGTGGATTTTGTCTCGAAGACGCGACAATGTTTCAAATTCAGGATATGTTCGAAAATGGAAAACCTGACATTGTCTTGAAAACGGTCAGGAGATTTTAAATATTATAATTTTGATATAAAAAAAGTTTAAAATTGCGAATTGTTTAGTAAAATGTTGGTTGTAGTTTAGTTTTGATCATTGACTTTTACTCTGGATATGGGTCAGGATCCAAAAAAACCCAGTTCGTGCCCATACTCAGTGTTAGAAATGGGCCAAGTTTTAGTTTTGGAACTAATGTCCGTTGAATTGGTGAATGGAGTTTCTAAACTAAAACATAAAAGAAAAAATCTTAAAATCAGTTTTAACTGTAAATGCGTCTGTTCATTCCTCATTATTCATTATATACACAATATACATAGTTTTCTTATCATTTAATAATATTTGTTTTAATGAATTATGGAATATCTAAAGCGTAAGCATGTCTTTGTAGATTAAACTTAAAATTATGCATGGCCTATCCTGGCCAAGAAGCAAGTGGACAGTGGTCACAGTGTCCCATACTAAGCTCCTAAAACGGGGGTGTGGTAGTTTGATATTTTCAACTTTTTAAATTTAAAATTTCTTTTGCTCCAAACATGCAAATTTGCATGAGATGCAAAAAAGTTCATAGAAAAGTGTAAGAAGCAATTGGATTTTATTTAAACAAATTCCCTTTTTGTGTTAAATTGGATTACGAATTTCCAGGAACCTTATCGGTCAAAAAGTATTTCGGGTTTTTTTATCAAGAAATATGTATACAAACTAAAACTATATAATTTCTTACCTTTAAATTTGTAATTTAAGGGAATTTGTAATTTAAGGGAATGATTAACCTAGCTGGGTTTACAGATGTTTTTAATTTCTCGAAATCTACAGCAATTGAATAGAAATATTTACCCACTTTCTGGGGCATAATGTAGTTTTAAAGCAATTCTCGGAATTGTTTTGTTTACAAACAAATTCATTCATTTTCCAGTGTGTAACAGTACGTGTACTGTACTGTGAACAGGGTGTACGCACATTTCATTCATTCATGATTCATTTGGAAGTAAGATAACAATTATTCTCATTTGTTTTATGGAGAGCAAAGCCACAATATCTCAGTGAAAATTATAAATCAAGATAAAACTTCTAGTTTGTTTTCAGTTTTCCTAGACAATTTAACGATTGTCAATTGGATTACTTTTTCAACAGGGATATCCATAAAAAGACAGCTTTTATTGACGCAACATAAGAGGGTTGGGCAGCCTTAAAGGAAAATTTGCATGTCAAAAACAGTCGTGTATGGAGAAATACTTCTTAGATTTCATTCTAAACAACGTTTTGCTTTGTGATGTTTTATTTTGGGCGGTTTTGATCCTCCTCCCCCCCCCCACACTTTTCTAACCCACGGGTCTGTGTTCTAATCCATGTATGACGCATTGTAAAGAACTGGTTGAATTTGTATCTATAGGGTGTCACCGCCATCCTTGTTATTATAGATTATAGATAGACTAGTTTTCTTGTAATCGATTTCGCCATTTTAGTCTTATCTACATTTTTATCTGGATTTCTTGCACAGATGTATATTTCTTGCATTCCTCTTCATTTTATCCAGTTCATTATGTTTAATTAATTTCTTCTTTTATGAATTTATTTTTCTATTTTTCTAATTCGTTTATTTCTTTCGTTTCTGTTTTTTTTATTAATATTAATTTGAAAGTGTTTTTAAGGCTCATAAAAGCTCTCAGCAAACACTTTTTTCTTACCCTACCAGCCCCCCCCCTATTTCCATTTTTTACATTCATTCATTTTTACATTTTTATCCTTATACATTTAGTTTCTTGCAATTTAAAAAATGATGTTTAATTTTTAAATCTTCGAATTCCTGAATTATTCCTTTAATATGTTTCAAATAACATATTTTTTTCAGTCAGTTGTTCTTTTTTATCATTTTTTATTTGATATTTTATTTTGATAATTATATTTATATATATATTTTTAGAATGAGTTTAAATGATCCTCCGACCCTATCCAGGGTTCGGCATTGGTCGTGTCCTGACAAGCTTCCCTCCACCCCCTCCCTGGACACACCATTGTCCCGCCCCTTCTACAGGGAGATGGAGGACACCCTGGCCCGCCCCCTGGCGAGCTGGGAGGAGAAGGTGTTAAGGTGGAGGGAGGAGAGGATGAGTAGAAGACTGAAGAAGATTGCTCTCGTCTCAATGATGAACACTGACTCCGGAACCAACCTTGGTGAGTTTAAAGCGACTATTATATGAGACTGTGTTGAATAGTGCCTTTTATTCAAATTCTTATTCACATTTCTTTGAAATCCTCAGGTTTACAAGTCGCTTAATTAAGGTTCAGGTTTCAGAAGTACAAAATTAATTCCAAATTACTAAGACGCCCCCTTACCTTAAAATTTAAAAAAAAATTGATTATCATAAAACAAAGAAAGTCTTTCTTCCGAGAGCGAAAAAATCGATTTCCACTGAGTCTTGAGTCGGAAGTGATTTGAAAGAAAATATCCGGAGGGATTGAATTGTTTCCGGTCTCTTGTAATGCAATAAACTTACGCAGTCCTTTTTTCTTTAAAAAAATGAAAAACTTTTTTATTTTAGATTTAACAAATTGTCCTTGGTTTGATCTGAAGACTGATTTACTAAGTGATGATGAAGGAAGACTGGATAAATGTATTGAAGAGAAGGACGGATTGAACCACAGAAGAGCTGAAGAGAAGGACGCATTCAACCGGAGAAGAGCTAGTTTTCCTTCGACGGATTCGTGCGGGGTTGAAGACCAAGGTTCATCTTTTCCTACTCAGCAACCCTGGGAGGAATACAACCCTGAATTAAGTTCATATCCCGGAGAAATCCAAAACACCGAACCAGAACTTGCCAGACTAAATGTTAGGCTTGGTATAAGTTCTATTCTCGGAGAAGCAACCCAACCTGACAATTTAAGAAGAGTTCAGAACACAACTAACAACCCTGTTCATATACCCGTTCATAGAAGTCCCCAAAATATTCAACCTTGTCGCGAATGCTCCCAAAACCCCCTCGGATGCTCCCGAACAACGCCTAGTTGCTCCAAACATATAACTAGTTACCCTGGAACTAAACCATGCCACTACAAACCGATTTCAATCTACGAACAGCTTGACTCCTCCCCTCCCAACCAAACCAAACCATTCACTGTTGAATTCTGTTCCTATATATATTATTTAATTAACCCAGAGAAACCTAGTGTTAATCCTAGTACCTGTACCAGCACGGAGTATAAAAGAACCCGGAGTAGATCCTGGTTTAGTCCGTGGACCTATTTTCTCCTCTTCTCAATAGTCTTGATCAACTCCTGCTCACTGGTTGCTGCAAACCAAGGGCCCCAGGGTAAGGATTAGATACTTGAGTTCGTGTTTACGTATTTCTATTTTTACTACAGTGAGAACCATAAAACTGGGATTGGAAGACGACATAAAGGCAATATTTTAAAGTGTTATAACGCTAATAGTTATACAAATCACTAATTAAGTGAAATGGTTTTTGCACAATGTCTGTGGTGTTTATTAGACTAATTAAAATCACAACTTGAGTCTCAAAGTCGTCTTTCTATTCCAAAGTTTTCTGGTTCTCACTGCAAATGCAAGGATAGTGGGAGCGGTGGAATGCTTAGACAGTCGGTCACAAGCCACAACATTTTCCCCTTCCATGCCACATATTAGCTTTTTTGTCTTCCGGCAGCCATGAGCCACAACCGTACGGTCTTCCATGTCACAGCATTTGAGTCTGCCGGCCGTTATTACAGTTTTAAATTTGCATTAAAAGTAATTTTCAAAATTCCAGCGACGTCATGCAAAAGACAAATTTAATTGAAATAATGACGATTCTTTTTAATTTAAAATTCTAAGCTTATTTTCCCCTAAAATAAGTTCAATCTCCTCTAAAATGGCTTATTTTTGAAAACAATATGCACCATAACATACTTTTAAAGTTCAAACCCATTATCGAAAATTTGCAATATGTAACAAGAAAATTGCAGAAATTTATCCTTCAAAACCGTAATGACTGCCGCAAGACTCAAGTGCTGTGGTATGGAAGACCGTACAGTTGTGGCTTATAGCTTACGGAAGACAAAAAAGATAATATGTGGCATGGTAGGGGAAAGTGTTGTGGCTTTTGGCCGCCTGCCTTCCCCTGCTCACAGCGTTAGGATTTTTTTCTTTGTTTTAATGCATGTTCAGCGCACACAATGTAGATTATCGATGAGCCACGGTTCTCGTTAATGTTTATTATTCACTTTTTCCCCTTGTCATGCTTTTTTATAACCTCTGTCACGGAGCAATTAATGTATGGAGGGGAGGGGGTTGCATTCTGAAAAGTTGTATTGCTTATAATGTATTTTACAAGGTGGAGGAAGTCAAGTTTTGGTTTTGAAAGGCCGTTACGCTGGAAGCTCGCATTTTTTTAGTCTTGAAAAATTTTCTATCTGAATATTTGTTTAGTTTGTGTCGCCAATATCAATATAAACCACAAGACGAACTGGGCTGATCTGGCCAAGTACAGTAACTGTACTGTACTGGAGGGAAGCTTACAGATTAACTCCGCTCTACTGGATTATCAGAAGGTAAAGATCAATTTTTAAAATTATAAGTATTAAGCTACTTACTCTGTTTTTTACAATATTCTTTTCATGAAAAAAATTTCTTTAAACAAGTGAATTCAAATTGTTATTGAATATTGATGTACACTTGTACAGACTAGGCAAATTTTTGTCGTTATTGAATGATTTGTTATTGCTCATAAATATTTGAATGTTTTATATTTTCCTAAAGATAGTCCTAGTAACTGTAACTAGTCCCCACAACTTTGTTAACAGAAAAGGCGTATTATAGTACTCATGTTGGTGGATTTCTTCCTAGACGATAAAGACGACAATTAGCTCCGCTTGCAGTACTTGGAAGAATTATAAAACAAAACTGAGCAGTACCCTAGTCTATAGTTTTGTTTATATTGTTCCCAATAATTGTAGTATACTTTTATGTAAACAAAGATAATGATATATATATATTCCTTGTTTCTAGTTTAATACAGTGGATCACATAAATAGCTTGAAAATCGACAATTACTCTTAAAGTTAATTGGACTATATATAAAATGAAAACTAGAGTCTAAAAATCGTCTTCCTTTTTCACAGTTTTATGAGCCTCACATTGTTTGACAGATATTTTCATAATATTCTGATTTTAGGCCGAAGACAACTTAAACTTCTCGTTTCCGCATCTAGTTGAGATCACTGATTACCTACTCCTATACCGGGCAAACCAGATTGAGAACCTGACCAGTGTTCTCCCCAAGCTGGCGGTCATTCGCGGTCACCGGCTCATCAACAACTACGCCCTGGCCATATACCAGATGAAGAACATGAGGACTCTGGGTCTGCTCAGCCTGACGAACATCATGAAGGGCGGAGTAAGGATCGAGAAGAATCCGTCCCTCTGCTACGTGGAGACGATTGACTGGAGGCAGATTGTGATAGATCCGATACATAAGAAATCTCACATCTTCATTGAAGAGAATATGGACGAACAAGCGTAAGTTTTTTAATTTTGTAAATTTGTTGCGTAATTTTCTCGCGTTTGAGTGACCTGTGAGGGCTGAGAGTGACTGAATGACTGATTGAGTAATGTTTAAGAACTTAAAAAATACTTCAGTTCTAAAATTCTTGAAAGCTTGATAGATAGTAAATTTGTTTTGCGTATTTAGGTTTATTTAAACTTAACATCATTTAATTTTCAACTCAAAAGTATTTCTGTAGATATTTAGATTTTTTTAACTTGGCACATTTGTAATTTTATATAAAGGAAGGTGACATTCAAATGGGGAATGATTTATTTTGTTAGGGGGGAAAAGAAATTAAGAGTGTTAAACGTNCCCCCCAATAAAGAAAGAAATAATGATTTAAAAGCATAATAACCATCTAATGAAGTTAGGAATCAACAAACTTTGATTTAAAAATATTTATTAAGAATGAGATGATATTTTTTTCTGCCCTTTCCAACCCTTTGGCTCTCATTTTCCTAGAATTAAGAATATCACTGTTTAATGTTTATCAAAACATTAATTTTATCTTATCATTAAGTCAGTATTATTGTATAACATCGACTTCTTAGAAAATCTACGAATAATATTTATAAAAAGTCAAAAAAAAGTCTACGAACTTAACAGTTGCTAAAATTGATCGATGTTATTTTAGAAAATTATTTAAATAATATTATTTAGATGCTCTGACACGTGTAAGCCCAGCTGCGAAAACAATTGTTGGGATGAAGATAATTGTCAAATAAGTAAGTGTCTTTCTGTATGGATTAGGGTGGAGGGAGGGGGGGGGGGGGGGTTGAGTATGTTTAATAACCATCGCACCATGATGTGATTTACAATTAAATAACACAGAGACTAACTTGAAATTTAGATTTTTTAAATAATTGCTGTTAACTCCATTTAAAAAAAAAAAAAATTGTATTGTAACTGGTTTTCAACAATGATTTTTCTTTTAATGATCATTTGTCTAGAGCTTGTAAAATGTCCGGGTGGAATTGACGGTTCCGCCGGCCAGGACGAGTGCTACGCGGATAACCAGGGTGAACCCAAGGTCCCCTGCTCGGCGGAGTGTATCGGCGGATGCTCCGCCAAAACCTCCCCCGAGCACTGCTACGCCTGCAGGAATCTCTGGTACCAGCTACAGAACAACTCAACCGTCTGTGTCGAGAAATGTCCTGAGGGCCTTCTCTCGGTAAGAAATATATGACAGATAGACAAGACAGAAAATAGTGTGAGATTGATATGATTTGGTAAAAATAATACGGGAACAAAAATGATAGGGGCCTTAACATGATAGGGGAATTAAAATTAAAGGGGAAAAATGTTATGGGAACAAAAATGATAGTGGAATGAAAATATTAGTGGAATGAAAATGATAAGGAACAAAAATGATAGGGGAATACAAATTGTAGGGGACTAAAAATTACAGGAGAATGAAAATAATAGTTGAATGAAAAAGATAGGGGAACAAAAATTATAAGGGAACACAAATGATAAGAGATCGAAAAAATAGAGGAATGAAAATGATAGTGGAATGAAAATGATATGGAACTAAGATTTTAGGGGAACAAAAATTATTGGGAAATGAAAATGATGGGGAACAAAAATTATAAGGGAACACAAATGACAAGAGAACGAAAAAAAAGAGGAATGAAAATTATAGTGGAATGAAAATTATAGGGAACAATAAAGATAGGTGACCAAAAATGATAGGAGAACACAAATTGATAATAATGAATGATAAGGGGACAAAAATGATAAGGGAATAAAAATTATAGTGGAACAAAAATGATAAGAGAATGAAAATTATAGGGAATGATAATGATAGGGTAATGAAAATAGCATGATCTGATGGTAATGAATGGGTGTAAAGAGGATGGAGAAGGATAGTTAAGTTTGCGGTCAATCTAAGTTCAAAGTTTAAGTAAGAGGCGGAAAAAGAATCTGTTGGCAAGTGTATGTTCTTAACAGAATACAGGGATGACAGACTCTACATAAAATTGGATTTTTATGTTCAGATAGTTTAAAATACCTGACAATTTTTATATTTCTATTTTTAACTTCTTGTCATCTTTATTGCGCACATCCCTTCGTCTATTTAAAGGTTTAGCTGGAAAACTGTTTAATTTTGCATTGATGAGTCAATATGACGTCATTAGCAAACTGACCGCTGTTTTCTAGCCTTCCTTAGATTAATCTTGAATGCATTTTTGTTCTGCATTACGTCTGTTTTAGAGTCATATAAGGACATAGTGAAATCTTTTATTGGCTTTTTTGGACCTCTTTTAATCTTAGTAAAATTCAATTGTCATAAGTTTTCAATAGATACAGGTATTTTGTGCTACGTAGACTAAAAAAGCACTTCTGTTGTGCGTCATTTTAAGTTTAAGAGAAGTTGTTCAACTTAGTCTGGACAGTTTGTCTACTTATCGCAATTCATTAATTTTTTGTATTTTATCATAATTATATTTCAGTATAAGAACTGGAAGTGTATTACGGAAGAAGCGTGTAGTAATCTTGAGAATGATGGAGGATACAGGGAGGAGGACAAGTTCTACAAGATACACACTGACCTCAACAGGCAGGAGCAGCAGTGCGTCGCAGAGTGCCCGGCCAACTATCAGGTGGGAAAAGGGATCCAGATACAGCAGATCTATCTCATTGATAGTTTTAAAATCTTTTTCATACCAAAGTCATTACCTTTTTTTGGTTTATGACCCACCAGTTAGATATGTTTGACACCTTGAAGTTTTGAGACGTTTTGGTTTTAATTTTTCCACTTAGATCTGGAAAGGATACAGAGGTTGTATATTTAATAAGTAGTGAAAGATAGTTTAACTAGGTACGGTATGCTGAACTACTTCTCCATAGTGTGACGCAGGGTGCATCAAAGAAGTATGTAATAACTAGCTACACCTAGTACAACTAATTGAATTAATCCGACATTCATTTAACAACCTTCCAAAATATCTTAGATTTATCTGCCTTGATCCATGATAATTGATACTGTATGCAGAATACAGAAAGCAGCATGAAAGCTGATGAAACTCTAATTCAATATTTTTTCCAGGGTACAAAAGATCAAAATGCGAAGAGGTGGGAGTGTACTCCATGTCAGAACTGTCCAAGGTATAAGATAATTATTAGTTTAAATAAAATGATTTATTTCATATACTTCCAGGGGTTTATATTTTCTGTGAAAATTATACCCCACCCCCCTTTGAAACTTTTTTTTTATAAGCATCAAAAATAAAGAAAATACTAGCCTTTTGATGATTTTTCATATTTTTGTCCTTCACCTATGTCATCAAAAATGTTGTACACCTTCTCGACCCTGTCAAATCATACTAGTGTGAGCGTACTCTGATATTGAAAGCGAATTAAAAAAAATGCGAATACATGCAGTATGCATCTTGCATAATTCAGCATTAAATTAACAGTTGCACACCCAGTCTATTCATTATTGGGCCTTAGCGTCTTACGTCAGATACTAAACATGCACATTAAAATTGATTGAAGAAAGATTAATAAGTGTACTGAAAAAAAAACAATTTATTCTACATTTGCAGACTATTTTTTGTGTGACATTTTTAAGTTAGACTGCATAACCTTGAGACTCTTGTTAAGTCGGTTGAAAAATGATCCTTGCATTACGCACATATAGAATAATTGATAACTTCCCCCAAAATGTTTAAACAAGTCAATGATGCATTAGTAATTATATGATAGCTGAAAATCAGCTAAAAGAATTTTGATATTTTTTTCAAATAGTGTGATACTTTTAAGATATTTTTTCATTAAGTATTTATACGAACAAGCTGTTGATTAAAATTAGATAAAAATGAACATTTTTGTATTTAGACATTGTGATGGCGGAGTGATTAATTCTCGGGAGGAAGCTGAGAGATTTCTTCATTGCACTCATATCACCGGGGAATTAGAAATTAGGGTCTCAGAAGGTAAGGGGCAAATGGTGTTAAGTTTAGGGGCCTTGAGGTCCTCTCCTGGGCCACGTAAACAGTTTAAGATAGTAATTGTCATCTCGAGATTGAATCGTGGATAACAGGACCTCATTTGATGCGTCCACGACTTAGAATAATGTTTTTTTTTTTAACTTAACTTAAAGTAAAGAGAGAAAATTAGCGACAGGGAAAGGTGATTTATCAAAAACTGATTTTAAGATTTAATGTAAATATAGATTATTTGATGAACCCCCTCCTATATTTAGTATTTACTATTTTTGTTTATGTTTGTTTATACAAAATTGTTTTAGGTGACATAACGCCAGTTCTAGAGGACACAATGAAGGATATTAAAGAGATCTCAGGAACTCTGAAAATATCTCGTTCCTTTGCTCTCGTCTCCCTGTACTTCTTCAAGTCCCTGGAGCTCATCAAGGGTGAGAACACGAACGAGAAGTTCAGCATCACTATAATGGAGAATGAGAACCTCCAGAAGCTATTCCCAGGGAACGTGAAGGTTGAGGCTGGGAAGGCGTTTATCCACTACAACCAGAAACTCTGCATGGAGGAGATTAACAATTTTATTGAGAAGAGTGGGCTCAGGAAACCAGGGGTCTACGAGGTGTCTAGCGTCACCAATGGGAACAAGGCCGTCTGCAGCAAGGAAAAGCTTTGGTTTAATATCACTGGTATTCACGGTAGGGCATTTGTCTTCGAATTTGAAAACTATCGACAGAACTTGTACCTACGTGCAGAGGAGGACGTTAATGCACTAATTGGATATGAGATATACTATCGAGAGATCAGTGAAGAGCAGTATGTTGCAAAGAACATCAGTAAATTTGAGGGTTTGGATGCTTGCGGTGGGAACACTTGGAACGTGCAGGATAGGAGGCCCAGTGATAACTTGGGAACGTGTGAAAATTCCAAAGACTGCAATCTCCCAGCAAACCAAGATGATTTTCCTATCCTGGTCTATAAACCGGAGACAGGCTGGATATTTGATCTGAAACCCTTTACTCCTTATGCAGTATACGCCACTACCCTTATGGTGCCGCATCTTGCTACGAACGCAACCGGCGCGCAGTCCGATATAGTTTACTTTAGAACGGACAGTGAGCCCCCAGAACAGGTTAGGAACCTGAAATGGTCCGCAGAGGAAACATACTCAAAGCTACGAATTAGCTGGTCTCCACCCAGACGCCCTCATGGTATAATTGATCACTATGATATAATGCTAGAATATATCCCGCTCAAGGATATTGCTAAGAATAGGAACTATTGCTCCAAGAAGCCGGAGGATAAGCCTGAGAAAGCAGAGATTGTCGTTCCTAAACCTAAGGTGAATGATACAAGTAATTGTCCCTTGTGTCAGTGCTCTAAGGACGATGGCAAAAACTACAATAAAATTGAGGACTTCGGAGACGAACATATTGATGAACAGGTGTTCTACAGCGATCTCATTAATAAAATCTTCACTATACCAATAACTATCGGAGGGGGTGGGAAATCAAAACGATCCATCCGTAGTGGAGCTGAATCCCTCCAGCTTTTGGGACAACCGGAGGAAGAAAAATATGTCAGGGTTAACACTAAGACTGCATCTGTCCAGTCATATGAAAATGTTTACAACGAGACCTCGTTCATCAACGGATCTAACGTGTATGGAATCTTGTATGAGAGAGTGAGTGGAAACCAAACTGAGATTGTGCTCAAGGACCTGAAACACTTTGCCCTGTACCAGGTTAAGGTGATGGCTTGTCAGGCAGAGCGTAAGTATGATTTGGATTGTGTAGACAACTGTATAATGCAGAAGGATTGTTCCCCTTGGTCTATTGATGAGGCTAAAACTCGACCCAAACCCAACGCGGACGATATCATCGTAGATGACAATAAATTGGAGATAATATTCCCAAATGAGACGACTGGAGACACATATATCCGTTGGAGACCACCCCAGGATCCTAATGAGATGATTGTACACTACACGCTGCGCAGAAAATCGTCTATGTCTGATGACGCGTCAAACAGCTACATGGAGCAGTGCATATCGTTGAACCAGTTAATTGAACTAGATGATGGTAGAGTTGAATACCATTTAACCACGGAGGGTGAATACTTAATCAGTTTAAGAGCTGTCTCTCTTTACTCCTCTGGAGGCTGGACCAGCTGGCAGAAGGTGAAGGTTAAGACTACTGCTAGTTACTACTGGATTGCTATTGTTGTGGTTATTCTCCTTCTCCTGATTGCCGGGTTGATGGTAGGATTCGTGGTGCGGCATAAGAAGAAGAATCCGATCCTAGAATGGGAGATTGTTTCCAGGAACCCGGATTATCTCGACACGGTAAATTATCCTTAAATAACTTGTCAAGTTCTCATACCTTGAATTATCGAACAGATCTGAAATTGATATTTGTAAAAGATATTCAATATTTTGGTATTTTTTTCTATTAAGATTGTATTAGGTTTTTTGCTGAATTTTTGAAATTTAAAAAAAAAACGGCAATTTTTTTGTTTGTTTTTGATTTACAAAGAGAAAAGTTCACAATAAAAATAGAAGATAGTAATATAAAAGGAATGATAAATTTTGTTCATTCCTCTCCCTTCTCAAACAAACTCTTCAGAATAGACCTTGGAGTAAGTGTTATTATAATGATGTCAAGCAACATTATAATTATTTCTTTTCAGGGTTGTGTTTACCAGATGGATGAGTGGGAAGTTCCCAGAGATTTAATAATAAAGGGAGAAGAGCTGGGGAGCGGATCTTTCGGAGTTTGTCATAAAGGAATCTACAATTATCCAGATAAGGTCGGGTTTTTTTCAAATGAACATTTTGTATGTTATTTTTCCTTTTTTATGCTTTAAACTTTATGAATATTTGTTAAGGGTCCTGTTTCTGTTGCGATAAAAACTGTTCCGGAGCGCGCCACCTTTAGACAGCGGATTGAGTTCCTGAACGAGGCAAGCGTGATGAAGGAGATCAATACTGCTCACGTGGTCAAGTTGCTCGGCGTGGTGAGCCAGGGTCAACCCACCCTGGTTCTCATGGAGCTTATGGAGAACGGAGATTTGAGAAAGTATTTGAGAAGTTTGAGACCTGATAATAATAATAGAGGTGGAGACCCACCTACCCTACAGGTAGTAACATGCATTCAAAATAAAGGCAAAATACAAACCAAAAACGATTTAAGAACGAACGTGTTGTAACGATCGTTTTTGGATAGTTTTTTTTTCTTCATAATTTTGTAGGATACTAATATTGAAATGTCTTCTATTTTAACTAGTTAAATAAAAAGCAAACTTTACCTTAACTTAAATCTGAAAGTTGTGTTAAAAGTTTTAAAAAACGAACCAAAACGATTAACAACACACCAGCAGTAATGTTTTATTGCTCAGTTTCTACTTTCATTTTCTTTCTTTTAAAAGAAAAATTGTAAGTTTCCAATGTTGTCAGTAAAATATTTAAATTGCAAAATAAAGATTTTTAGCAATTTTACTTCCATTGTTAGAACTGAAAACAAATTATCCGCGGTCTTAAAAAATCTTCATGTTTTCAGCGGACCCTGCAGATGGCTCTTGAGATAGCTGACGGAATGGCGTATCTGAGTGTGAGGAAATATGTGCACAGGTATTATCAGTCTCCGCCCACCGTCAATAAGATAATGAATCTCTTCTAAAGACTACAATCTTTCAACTCGACTCTTTTTATCCTGATTAATGTTCCGTCTTGTCAACTAGACTTTTTTAAATTTCTCGTTTCTTCATTTAACCTGGAGTTCGTGTTTCAGGGATTTGGCTGCGCGTAACTGCATGGTGAGTTCGGATCTTGTGGTAAAGGTTGGAGACTTTGGTATGGCCCAGGACGTGTATGAGAGGGAATACTACAGGACGGAGGGAAGAAGGTTGCTTCCGGTCAGATGGATGGCCCCAGAGTCACTTAGGGTAGGTTTTAGAATACAAGACATTATTTTCTTTGATTCAGAAGTTAGAACATAGATACAGATAAGTCTTCGGAAGAAAATATACTTCGAGCAGATTCGAATATAGAATTTAAATCATTTAGAATATAATTAGATGAGATTTTTTAATATTAGAATTCAAAGGATTAAGATTATCTAAGGTTTAGAATATCTAAAGATCAAGTTCAAACGAGTTTTATAACCTCCTAGAATTAATTTTAAAAGTTGAAGGTTAAGGATTAGATCAGTTTAAAATATCGAAAGATTAAAATTGAATAAAATTAAGAATTATCCATTAATATCCAAGGATCAGATAGATTCTGAATCTGGAAGAAATAAATGTTTTGCTAGTATCAGATAGGATTCAGATAGAAGGATTCGATGCAACAATAAAAACAGCACTATTCTTATGTTGAGCAAAGATTTAAACGAGAAGAGTCAAGCTTATTATCTAACGTGTGATATGTTTACCTCTATTTAGGACGGAAAGTTCACTTGTAAATCTGATGTTTGGAGCTACGGAGTAGTACTCTGGGAGATGGCAACCCTGGCAGAACAACCATATCAAGGATGGTCTAATGACGAGGTAAATATTAAATATATATATTTTACCCTCTATTTTTTACACTTGCAACATTTATCTGACAAATAATGTAGAGGATTTTGTCGTGACTTCTTTTATTCTCCTTTGTTTTGCACAAGAAATCTGCATGTGACTTATGCATAGAAACTAATATTGAAAATAATCAATCTTCTAAGTTAAAAACATGAATATCTCATTTTTGCTTGATCGTACAAAGCTTTAAAGAGTACCTTTAATAAATGGAGGCTAACTTAAGATAACGTGTTCAATCCCTTGAATTCTCATTTTATTCCAAGATATTGTAGAATTTTGTTAAACAAAATATATATTTAGGTTGTAAGATTGGTGAAGGAAGGGAATGTTATGCCTAAACCTGAAAACTGTCCTGATATTGTCTATGATCTGATGAAGGAGTGCTGGAGTCGAAACCCCGACCATCGACCCTCATTTATCGATATCTGTGAACGACTGCTACCTGAGGCGACGGAGAAATTCCGATCGAATGCGTTCTATTTGTCCAGCCAAGGAGCTGAGGCAATAGCTAACCAGCAAGCTCAACGACAAGCCCTAGAGGAGGCGGAACATCTAACCCCACTAACCAATAACGGACGTAAGTTAATCAATTTTGCACAGCTGAGATTTGTAAACTAATAAATGGAGTTCAATTTGAACAGGGGTTTTTAAATTTTAAACCACCTCAGATTTTCAAGACTTAAGGGCTAATTACTTCCCACTAATTCATTAATTTCCATCTCCGTATTTGCTTTACTCGGACTTAAAAATGAGATTGTGCCTTATCCAATTAACTACAGGATTATCCACAAAGGATGAGACGTTAACGACGACCTGAAACTCATTATTCTGACAATCGGTTGAATTGGTATTTAACCCTGTATTCCCACTCAATTTATTAATTTCGTTCTCAGGATTGATATTTCTCGAACAAACATTAATGTTTTGATCATTTCACGCGTCCGGAAAACATTTATATAATCGTGCAAGTTTTTTGTCGTAATATAATATTGATGTAAGTTTTGATAAGTTGAGTCTTCAAAACAATTTTTATAAACATGAAAGCATGTTTTTAGCTAAAATGAACTACTTTTAATTTTGGGTTCTCTACTACAGTTAATTGCAGATTTATGCAAAAGAATATTGAAGATTTTTTAGAGCGATAATATTTACGTGAAAGATAATTCGGACATTTCACTCCTTAAATGAAGATTGAAGAGTTACTAGCAAATGCTATTTCAGGAATGAACGGAGAGAATGGAGATTTTAGTCAAGGAGAGAACCACGCTATGCGTGAGCTAAGGAGTCCAGGACATGTTAGTTTCTCAAACAACGGAGGTGGCTCCCGGAGTAAGAGCAACGGAGTACTACAAAGACTCCGAAACAAGTCCGGAAGCACCTCTGGAGAGGCCTGAACCAGGGAGTTTTAACTCTCCCAACTCTTTTTAAGAATCCCGAGAATGTGCAAACCTTACAAGAATGCCTGAAACACAAATTTGTGTCTAAACGATCCTAGAGGTTATATATCTATAATTCTACGAACCCGTGTTGTTACTTCGTTATATTTAATGAACTATTTAACCATTTGTTAACCAAATGTTTAGTGATTAAGGGAGGAGCTTAACTCTCCATGTCTGCTCACAACCTACACCTTGTGCACGTTATGCTGGACAAATGACTAAACGCGCACGTGCTCGAGATGGGTTGCCGACACTACGGTGCCGGAGGTTGAGGGAAATGTTTCCCCAGCCAAGTTATTTACCTGTTAAACTTATACAAATGTATTAAATTTGCATCAACTATTTTACATATTTTTCAAATGTTAATTTTACTACACGTTAAATTTTCAACAGTTAAATTTTGGATGAACACACTTGTCCGTACAAAGCAAACGCTATAAAACTAGAAAACTTGTTAATTATGCAATATCCCTCGCAGCCTAAATACGCAAACTTTTACATTGGCCATAATACCTACAGTGAGGTTTTTATTTGAATAAATATTCATGGATTGCACAACTTGAAATAAGAATATATAAATTGATCACTTTCAATTAACTCCATTTTTTATCTTTTCAATGCAATTCGCGAACTACCAACCGCAATTAAATAAGACAGGGTTTACTAATAATTTGACGACATGGTTGGCAGCTTCAGTTAGTTTGTGCAAATAGTTAATTATCATGGTACACAACATTCATAACGTGTAAAAACTCATAAATTAAAGTTAATTTAAATTTATAAAGACCATTATGTGCAGCTATTTTACCCATTTTACTAAAAACAAGGTTGGTTCAATATCAACTCACAGTAATGCATTTTTTCTCCGATTCCATCTGTTGAAATTACAGGAATTATTTTTAACTAAATCTTAGACAAATGAAATAAATTTTATACCGAACATTCATAGAAATAATAAAATAGAAAGAACTGAAATAGATTGATACTAATGAATGTTGTTAAACCAGTATAAGTTTATTAAATGTTAAAATATTTTGATTACATTAGTATGTACACATTGTACATTGTAAACCATGTACACCAGTGACTTAAACTATCTATTGGTGTGTTCATAGAGACAGAGGGCGCTTCGCGTTCTCGACAGAAAATTGTTATAGAGTCGAAATTCGTTTGTGCACACATGTACCAGCGTACAGACGTACGGTACTGTACATAAACTGTACGGTATTGTGTCGAATACTTTATACCTGATTCCTCCTATGTAATTATCCTTGTCAGATATCTGTACGATGTATACATATATATAAATACTTAAACTTTTCAATTAATATGTTTACTATGGAATGTAGATCTTATTAAATTATCACTATTATTGAACATTGTTAATTGATTCGAGAGAGATTTTAGAAAGTTATCCAAAGTGTAGTCACAGTGTTCTTGAAAAGTGAGGTTTGAAAAAAATGTCAAAGGAACACAAGGCATAAAGAAAAAGTTTTGTTAATGTAACCTGTTCTAAGAAGTCCATAAATAACTATATGGAAATTTGTCCATTTTCGTCGACATTTTTTTCTTCAAACACCCCCCCCCTTCCAATCCCTCTTTAAGATCACTGTAATATTTAACTTGTAGCATTTTTCAAAGTCAGATGTAGGGCTATCAAACTAAAAATATAAACCATTGAAACTTTTGAGATGAATACTCTAGTATAAGTATTGTGGATATTGAGATCAATTCTTGATTTCCTCTCTTTGTTAATCTGTTGGTCAATTTAATCTTGTTGTTGATCTGCAGGTTAGTTTAATCTTTTCCAGGAAAGTGTCTAATATTCAACTCATCAGAAGCCGGGAAATTTTACGAGCAATTACATAAGAGAACTCTCATTAGTCGGAACCCAGCAGGGGGATATCCAAAAGAGAGGATTAAGCAAAAAATCAAAAGAGGAAATTAAGATTAAGTTAAATCTTGACAATTTCAATATCTTCGGAGGTTAAAACTTTGTGCTAAGAACCCCGGAAACAAGCAGTTAACCCATACTAAGTGTAAAATGAAATTTTCGGTGTTTTATCTGAAAACCATCCAAGTTCAAAAATTCAAGTCAAAGCAGAGATAGACAGCGGCTTTTTTGTTTTGCGTGTCTTATTCCTTTTCAACATTGCAATAAGCTCTTAATCCAGAATAATAATGGAGTTAGTAGTTGGGCGTAGTCTCTACCAGTTGTGTTGATTTTCGGTATTTGCATCTATTTTATCCGGGTCAAAGTTTGAGATATTTTTAAGAGTAAATGTTTAGAATTTAGATTTTAGAAAAAAAATTGCTATTCTTATATTATGCCTAGTTGTGATCATGAAAGAAAATATAGTCAAACGAACCAACTGAAAAAACACTTCTTTATACGAGACTAGATTGGGAACCCAGCTTAGCCTGGAAACTCAGTTTTTCTCATAGTTGGCTAACTCAATTTTAGAAATTTCAAACATTCCCATGGTTCTACCGAGTATTCAATTAAAATTCATTTGGCGTTCCGTCCCGTTCTGCCTTAAAAACTAAATAGTGTGTGTGTACTGTACAGCTTGCTATAGCTTCTTGAACAAAGATTACTAGCTTGGGAACCCAGCGTTGCCCAGAGTACTCATAAGCACTCCCGCTGTTTACCCGCACTTAGACGATTTTTTACCGGGAAACTGCCTGTTCTCTATAAAAGTCGACCCACTCAACTTATAATCTCTAAACAAAAAGTAAAACATTCCCGTGGTTCTCCCGAGGTCCCCAATCAAAATTTGAGACAAATCGGTCAAGACAAACAGAGATTAGAACTATATATATAGAAGAGGACAGAAGGATGATGTATCAGAGACGACTGTTGAGATTTTGTTTAGTATAAGATATAATCTTGATTCTTTCTTGCGAAATCAATTAATTTACCATTCATATTGAAATGTTAAGAAGAAATTACAAGGTTCACCGGATATTTCTTACGCTAATTTATAGAATGAAAGCTTATTCATGATGTAAGGTAATCCAATAAATAGTCGTGATTTGGATCCGGAGAAATTTTTAAAAAGAGAACACTTTCTCTATTATCTGTAATCTCACATCATACATGGTATATTTCCTGAAAAAGACGTAACGGGGGGGGGGGGCAGCTCTCCTCTAGCCATACCTCAAGGGGTCCGAAACCACACTAGAAAATGACGGGAAATTTCAGCTAAAAAAATTTGACGAATTTTATTCTAGGAAAGATTGACAATTTTAGAATTTCATTCTCAACAATAAACAGAGATTTAAAAAACATTTTTTTGATCAACACTTTATTCATAAATTATATAAAAATAGGTTTGTTTCTAATTAACTTTAACAAAAATACAAATATGAAGCAATAATACAGTTTTGATGCAATCTCAACGGAACGTTCTAGAATTCTGATGAGTAAAATATTGGATTTAGTTTGTTTATGTTGTTTTTTCCTTGTAAGTGATGACCCCCTTCTCTATAAGATCTGGTATCTCTACAGCTAACCAGGGTCCCAGTCCTAGAGCCATAGCGTGGGCAATACCTAGATATACATAAATATACTTTTAAACATACACATATTACAAATATTTTTATTTGTTAGTTTGTTTCTACTCAAAAACGTTGTAACAGCTGAACCGAGCGGCGCTAAAAAAATAATCCCAGGGAAGGTCAAAATTGAAAATTAACTAGAAAATGTTAATTTTTTTAATTTGGAGAAGTCCACCAATGTTGTCAGGAAGCGTTATTTATTAATACATATCTAAAATTCTGAATAGAAAAGGAACGCTAACCATCCCAAAAGCTAAATGGACGCATATTACAATTTTTTCGGAGTCTAATAATTTTAAACTCTTCCCCACATTTTTTCCAGATCTTCCCTTTGAACTTAATGTACTTTTGCCCCCACCGCAGGAATAAACCAAATATTCGTTTAAGACTTTCGATGCAATGTATCCCTTTTTATCATAAATTACAACAATTATGTAAACGGATATTTTTGGAAATTTTTGAAAATTGTTGAATTAACCTGCGGATTTCAATATATCAAACCAGATCTTAACAATGACATTTATTAAAACTTGAAAAAAAAACATTTTTAACAATTAAAATTCAAATTAAACCAGATTTTTTTAGACTTTTATGGAGTACTGAAGTACTTTTATGGGATACTAAAATAAGTACAATTGTTTTAAACATAAAAATAAGCTTAATTTCTTGAATATTTCTTAATTATTCATCTAATCGCATTAGAATTAATTATTACCAAATTTTGGGGCATTTCTGCCCCACAGAGGTTTGAAAAGTCCCACAAAAAATTTGGGCCCGATCGGTTCAGCCGTTTTGACGTTTATTGAATACAAACAAACAAACAGACAGACAAGCCAAATTTATATATACCCATCGACCGATTTGCATCAAATTTTGATTGGGGAACTATCACAAAATAGATGATAGAGGTTCAAAATAACGTGTTGAAAATAGATATTTTTTTGGAAGATTACAAAGGAAAAGATAACTATCCTCATTCTGAAGTTGTCTAATCCCTATATCTTTGCAGCCTAATATCGTAAACTTTTGATATTTCAAACTAAGAATTTTGCTAGTTCAAGTGTCAACCAGCAAGTTTCAAGCTCATAGGGATTAAAAACTTGAGAGAATGAGGCACGTGAACAGTCCATTTAAAAATGTTTGCTGTGGATAAAATATATAGTGGAATATAAGACTGGAATATTATTTGTAAATATGTAACATAGCTTAACAATTAAGGGGGCGGGGAAGAAGTTTTTAAAATTTTGAAGAAAATGAATAAGTAACCGGCAATTTTTCCCAATATATCAAATTTAGTGATAAAGAGCAATAAATTTTTCATTTCACTACATGCTGGAAGTAAAATGGTTTGAGAAGAGAGGAGGGGGGAATATTTTTTCACGAAAACCCAGAATTTCCCCTAAAAGAAAAAATACAGGAGGATTCAGAGTTTAATCTCTAACCTTTGCCGTTTTCCCGTCCAGCTCCGGTAGTGCAATCTCTGGAGCTGTATCTGGATACGTTACTGGAATATCAAACTCAACATCGAACTCATACTTCAGCTTATCATGGAAATACCAGCATTTCCCGAACCAACGGGTCCCCTCCTATACATGTGATAAATATTCTATGTATAAAAAGTTGTATCTCCGTTTGTATGTCCGATCATAACTCATGAACCCCTTGACCGGTTTGCATTGCTTAGCTTGATTTTAAGATTCTAAGATGAGCAGGTTCAATTTTACAGGGAAAAATAGCTAAAATCGTAATTTAAGAAAAAGCGCAGGTTAACGCGCGGCGGGAGTAACTATGAGTACCCTAGGCAACGCTGGGTTCCAAAACTAGTATTTGTATCGGAATCACAATTGAAAAGAAAAACAAAAAAGCAGAAAAAAGTTCAGAAAAAACAAGAAAAAACAAGAAAATCAAGAAATAGAACAAAAAAGGAAATGTAGGCTAGGAAAGGTATGAGTTAAAATCTAGATTTCATGTTACATGAAAAAAAATAAATTCATTAATATGGTTGATTTTTGTCTTCTATTTTATCTTCTTTCTTTTCAACAGCGCTGACCTTATTGGACTCAAGCCTGAACCAGTCATTGTCCGCCTCCTTGTTGGTGCTGACGTACTTGATGAGGGACTGGTACTCCTCCTTCAACCGGTTCACCCAAGCATCCTTGTCCCGGGGCCCAGCCTGTACAGTACGTAAATCAGTACATGATTTACATTTACAGTACGACGTAAAGTGTACAGTATATTACATATTAGTTTACAATGTACAGCCAGATTACATGTAAACAATGTAACAGCAATTTAAGTACATTTCATGTGAACAGTACAGTGTACACTGAATTGTGTATAAGCTAAGGGGGATAAGTTTTTTTAAATCATTCCCCCTTTAAAATAAAAAACTTTAGAATTTTGAAAAGATGGATTTAAATTTACAGCGATAAAGTTCTCAGGTCGTAAATACTAATATTTCATTGGCCAACATAAGATTATTTGTGGCCTCTGATGGGACGACCCTTTAAGATAAGAAATAAAAAATTTCCGTCGCACAATAACAGAAAAGGATTAGCGATCTATAAAGGGATTAACAAACAACAATACAAAAGTTCCGATCTCAAATTACATTTTAGCTTCACCTTAGTTTTTAGAAGAGGAATTCCACTTAGCGTTTTCTTGGTTTGAGCATCCACCATTTTCAATCTGAAATTGAGTATGTCAATAAATCAATCAATCAATGATTTAATTTTTTTATAATGTTCATTAGTTAAGCAATAACATAATATTCCGCCAAAAACACATAAATGTAATAATATATTTGTACATGAATAGCATGATTTAAGTTTTGTTTTGGTTCTTGATAATATTGATTTGGTTTACTAATGCCATTATTATAAATGAAGAAGTAAGAACTAGGTTTTTCCCTCTTTACTGTCTATCACGATAATAGAAAAAAAGGATTGAAAAAGGAGAAGAAATACCGAGTAGCGAGTAGGTTGGATTATTTTCTAGTAATAGAATAGAGAACAAGGGAGCCAAGGCGATTCGATTTATTCTCTAGAAGTAGAGTATAATAAAAGCTCTAGGTAGAAACATAAAGAAGAATATTTGCTCTGCAGGGAGTAGGACTCTATATTCTGGTTGTTAAAAACAGAAGATGGTAGGTTGGAATGGAGAGAGTAAATTCTATTGAAGTAAAATAGAACTGTAGGATTTATTCTCTGGTAGTAGAAAAGAGCATGAAATGAAGGAGATAATATGTTGGAATTAATTTGTTCTCTAGCAGAAGGGATTTATTCTCTGGTAGTAGAAAAGAGCAGCAAAGTAGGAGATAAGATGTTGGAATGGGTTTGTTCTTTAACAGGAGGGATTTATTCTCAGGTAGTAGAAAAGAGCAGGAAAAGAAGAAGAAGAGATGTCGGAAGGGGTTTGTTCTCTACCAGGATTTATTCTCTGGTAGTAGAAAAGAGCAGGAAAGGAAGAAAATGAGATGTTGGAATGGATTTGTTCCTTAACAGGAGGGATTTATTCTCTGGTAGTAGAAAAGGACAGGAAAGGAAGAAGATGAGATGTTGGAATGGGTTTGTTCTCTAGCAGGAAGGAGTTATTTTCTGGTAATAGAAAAGGACAGGAAATGAAAAAGAGGAGATGTTGGAATGGGTTTGTTCTCTAGCGGGATTTATTCTCTGGTAGTAGAAAAGAGCAGGAAAGAAAGAAGATGTTGCAGGATTTATTCTCTAAGAGCTGCTAATCTTCTGCTTAAAGGATCGTCAACGGTAGAAGCAGCCTGAAATTTTTTTTTAATTAAATAAAATATTTTTCAAAACAATTTCGAAACATTTTAAGTTTTTTATAAACAAATATGATTTTTTTAAAAGATAAAAAGAATGTTACCACTGTCTCTCCAATATTAGCCGATGGAACCGATGCCATCTGTGCAGAAACCTCCAGACCAGCTTCCTCAGCAACCTTGGCAGAAAAATGTAAAACTATGTAAAATTATATTTATTATTGTAAAATCAAGTAAAATAAAGAAAAAATCAAATAGTAGTAATAATAATAATTATTATGGAAAATAGAGAGTATAAAAAATTTGTAAAATTATGCAAAAATATGGAAAATTATGTAGAACTATGTAAAAATAATAAATATAAAAAAATATATAAATTTTTGAATAAAAACTAACATGCATTTAAAAACAGTAATCTATGGGTAAAAATATTAATTTGAATCATAATAACTTATTAATTTATGAATAGAGATTACAAAGCTTGAGCTTTTCTATACTCTATACTTGAACCTATCTGTTTAATCAGTTACCTGGACAGTATATACTTGAATATACCTGTCTAATCAGGTACCTGGAGAGTATATACTTGAATATACCTGTCTAATCAGGTACCTGGAGAGTATACACTTGAATATACTTTTCTACCTAGAGAGTATATACTTGAACCTACCTGTCTAGTACCTAGAGAGTATATACTTGAACCTACCTGCCTAATCAGGTACCTAGAGAGTATATACTTGAACCTACCTGTCTAATCAGATACCTAGAGAGTATATACTTGGACCTACCTGTCTAATCAAGTACCTAATAGAGAGTATATACTTGAACCTACCTGTCTAACCAAGTACCTAGAGAGTATATACTTGAACCTACCTGTCTGATAAGATCATCAACCTGACTGGCAGGTGTTGATGTTGTTGTTGCAGTTCCCATAGCGTTCTCCATAACACTGGTCTGAACATCCAGATCCTCAAACTGTTGTTCAAACTTATCCATCACCTTAATATATTTAGATTAAAGGGAATGTTTGCGAAAATAGAGTATACAGTGGTCGTCGTATATAACAATGCAAGGAAGACAACTTTTTATTTCAATCTATCAAACAGCAGAGACAATTAAGAGCTTCTTTTTGTTTACTTTTTAACTTGTAATTTGCAAAAAAGATTGCATAAAAAATAGTCTTCATTGTATTGATGTAATCGCTGACTCATGAGTAATTGTTTCATGAATTAACTCCCCTATCACTGTGACATCAATTGTAATTTCCGCCTTTTCTGATTCCTTTTTTTTCAATTTTTTATTCATTCTTTTCAAAATTTCATTTTGAGTCCATCGAGAAATATACCTTGCATCTGGGGGGAAAATTATTCACCTTTATTTTCACGATATTACTTTGTAAGAATTAAGAAGTTACAAAAGGGCCATAATTTTACTTTTTATAAAGATGAAATGGATTTCATTAGTTGACTTTACCTCTGAAATTTTCTGTAGTTCCATTGAATTAATTGCCTTCTCCAATGATTTTACGACGGATCCCATATTCTTAGCAACACCCTTCATCGTTACGGCAGTTTGAACTCTTAAATAATTATGGGTTACTTTTGAAATTTTAAATAAATATTTTTGTTCTTATTATTTAGTTGTTCTTGTAATATCGAACTGTAACAAACTTTGAAAATTCTTAGATTCTTGAAATCTAAAGATAACTTTAAAAAGTAATCTTCTTATACGTCACTAGTTGACTGTGTTTCCATAACCAAGATTACTTTATATTAGAAAATAATATTTCAATTTTTAAAAAAATGTCAAAAACTAATTTTTTTCACCTAGAAGATGTTGCATCAACCTTACTTGACATTCTTAGATAATTTAAACTTTCGTTCTTCTTCCTGAAGGAAAAACAATACAGATTAAATTTTTCACTTTTCAGCGAGGCGGTCCGGAGGAATTGTCAAAAACCCATTAAATTGCATACAATAAATATCAACTAAACAATAAACATCAAAGCGACTGAACAGAACAAGCACAAAAATCGGATTACTCCTCGAAAGGATAAAGACCGCTCAAAATTAAAAGTTTTGCCTCCTGTTGTAAACCATTATTTATTCTATTAATCATTAATTTACCTGACGGCATTTTCTGCATATATCCTGGCCCTCTCAACATCTCCTTTAGTCAATGCTTTCTTTATCATTCCTTCCTCTTTCTTCTGCTCTTTCTCTGCCTTCAAAATAATTAAGTGGCTCTAACCTTACATTATGAATATATTTTGTTACTCGATTTCGACAGCCCCCCAACCCAACCCCAACCCTCCTTCTCTTCTCGGAAAGATTTGGTAGTTTTAACCCTCCCTCCCTTAGCGATGTTCCTCGAGTTAGTTCGTTTTTGTTTATATTTTCTCTTAGGGTTAAATTTGACATAGTGTAGGAACATTTGCTTCTCTTAAAATTTTGACCCTGGCTGAAGATAATGGCAAAAAATGACCAAAAACGATCCAAAAACTACAGTTTATTGAAGATATTGCAAAGTTTAACACAGCAGTTTTGAATTATTGGAAGTTTTAATATTTTTTTTAAACAACTTTAAACGATCAACAACACATACCCCTCCTAAATACATTAGACATTCACCTTTTTAGACAGTCTTTCCAACTGTTTTGAGCAAAATTTTAATTGGAAAAGTGTTTCTTCCATTCCTCGACTTGATCCAAACATTTTAACAGTATTGTAACAGTACCACAGTCCACAGTAAATAGTTGATCTAAACATTCAATTCATAATATAGTTGGATAAAAATTATATTTGCCTGTCACAGACCGTAGCGCTCAGTCCTTATCCTGACTTTGCCGCAGCGCTCGGCCCATAACTAGGAAATTACCTAAAGCTGATATCTAACAAAAATTGTAAAATAAATTGGTATTTATAATAAACAAAGATAAGATATACAGCTATAGCAGCTAGGATGTCAGATGAATGAGTCATAATAAGTTTGCTCAAATCAACCAACATTATCTCAAACATAAATAAAAAGAAAAAATTTCAACTTACTTAAAACTTTTTGAATAACATGAGAACAGAGAGTAGAATTAACCCGGACAGATTTGAATTCCAAAACTAGAAAGAAAATTCCAACACAACAGACAGTGATCGCATACCGCGACATTTTCTCAGAAAACTTTCAATATATAAAAGACGACAATTCTTAGCGTTGTTTTCGGTGTCGTCGTATCGTTTGAGTGTCGTATCGTTTCTAATGATTGATCGGACTGACGTACAGGGTGTCCCACGAAACATGACAATAGCAAGACGACTTGAAAGTCGTCTTTGATATATGAATTTATTTGTGACATTTAGTCTTCTATTTACTTTAACATGTATGATTCTTGAAACAATTATCACATAATTCTCCTAGCCCTGGCATTTCCAAAAAGTGGTCTGCGTTTTTTGTGCTTTCAATATTGATATAAAGAGTTTGGTTCAGATTTCAATTTTGTTAAATAAAAGCAAAATTGTCGAAATCTGAACGAAATTCTTTATATGTCGGGCAATATTGAAAGCAATAAAAAGGCAGACCACATTTTGGAAATGGCAGGACTAGGGGAATTTTGTGATTATTATCTCTAGAAATTTACTTCTAAAATTAGGTTGACAAATAAACACAGCAAATTATATCAAAAATCAAGACGACATTCAAGTCCTCTTGCATACTGTCATGTTTCGCGGGACACCCTGTATATTACGTAAATTTCAGTATTTGCTAAAATAAATAAATATCCATGAATATGCGGGAACAGTTTTAAAGAGTTCCATACAATCATTTAATTAAAAAACTAAATATCTGCAACCTTCCATTATCAGAATGTGAAGAATACGACATTTGATGAATTCTTTCGATGTGTTCATTATTAAGGGTTTCACTGTATATTTACAGAAAAGAAAAATTAGTCCATTTGAACATTTTTTTTGGACATGTTCATTTGCACTAACGTTCAATTGCACTAATATTTACAGAAAAAAAAATTTAGTCAGTTTGAACAAATTTTTTGTCACAAATGTTCATTTACACTAACATTCAATTGCACTCGGACGAGAAAAAGAGGAGAATGTGGTTCGGAATAGAGATTGATGTGGTTGGCCTTCCTCCCCTCTTTGGGGTCACACGAGGTCCCACACAAAATTTGGCCCTATCGGTTCAGCTGTTTCGACGTTTATTGGGACACAAACCGACAGACAGACAATGAGACAAGCAAAGATATATGATAGATAACATGAACTATATGAAGGTTTGGTACCTGATGTCCTGATATTGCTGGTTAAGATGAAACGGAAGTTGAACTAAAACATAAATCTATCAACCTTTAACCAAACTATTCAACCCCATACTGTTAGAGGGAGATAATTTAACATCATGTTCCTTTAATTTGACGCGGTGTCGTTGCCATAGTAGCATTACAAATGTGATTTTTTTATATTGTTAAATCACGTAAAGTTTCAAATCGGTTTTGTAACTTTTTTCATGTACTTAATTGATATATAATATTTACCGTATTACCGGTGAGACCCATAAATCTGATGAAATGATTTAATTCAATTTGAAAATCGAAGATTTGACGAAATTTATCTGAAATTAACGAATACGCAGGAACCATATTTTATTTGTAAATGTCAAAAATGCATTTCGCAAAAATAAATTATTTGAGTTTAAATGTACAAACAAGGGATGTAATCCGTCGTCATTGCAATAAGGACAGAGATCAGGGACCAAAGAGAATGAGTGTTATAGGTATAGATCGTGTAGTAACATACAGTATATATCAGATAAATGGAAGTTGTGGCAATTGTGTTCTCTCTGTATATTTAGCGTACACAGATTTGGGGTATGTAAACAGTATATAGACAGTTTTTCTATACACAATAGGATGAAAAGATTTGCTGGTTAAAACTACATATTGAGATTTGAGAAGTTATACGATCATCAGTAAACTTGAAAAATTATTCCATGGGCACAACAATACTTCTCCGAAACATAAGAGCTTAAAAACCAAGATAAAATATGAATTCTATTTTAAATAATTTACATTTTTTAAGTTTATGAAAATCTATTCCTAACAAAAAGTGTTTAATTTATTTTTCACAAACACAAACAAAAAAATCCGACATTGATTTTAAAATTATTCACCCCAAGCACCAATAAAAGTTAAAAATCTTTTCTCCGGCATAAATCTTTCTTTCTCTTATTATTGAGGATTATCAAGCTGTTCTGCGAAGAGAGGTTCATCAAGATGCTCAGCATCATGCTGCTCAGCAAGGAGAAGATCATCATGCTGCTCAGCGAGGGGAGGATAATCAAGCCGTTCAGCTATGGTAGGATCATCAAACTGAGCAACTACTGGAGGAAAAAAAAACTTCAAAAACAATCAATACACCTACAAATCTTAGCTCTTGAATTGCATTTCTTAGCTCTAAAATTTCAAAAATGCATTATTGTGTATATTTATTTTTTAATGTACTGTAAATGTTACAATGAGGGAAGAACAAAAATGTCGCGACTAAAGGTATGCAAACCTGATAATAATATTTTAGTAAGAAGTAATTTTGCAATGATATTAGGATTGAAAGATAAGTGTAACCAAATTCAGCTATTTTTGAAGTATAACCAGACAACGCACTTTACTCTATATATGAATTATTAAACTTGTAAATAAATCATTTATAAACAATTAATACATAAACACATAAAAGTATATTATATTTATATGATGGATAAAATGAATTTTTAATATTAGATACAAAGGTATTGAGTCTTTGTCACAAACTATGATTTTCTTATCTCTATATCTTTGTAATCCAATGCCGTAGACCTTAGATATTTCAAACTATAAATTCTGTTAGATGAAAAAATCTAAGTTTGAAATATCAAAGGTTTACACCATCAGGTGGAAAAATATAGGTATTAGCAAATCAGAGTTTATTACAAAGACTCAACTCCTTTAGATATTTTAGAGCAGCAAAAAAGCTCCTTTTTTATCATTATAGTTTTGGCCAGAAAATTTTTGAGATTCAGATAGTTTTAAAAATCATGAATTGTTTTTAAATATTAGAATTCTAAAATTTGAGCACTAAAGGAAAGAGTTTTTGAAACCCAATCTTACACTTTGAGATTCATTCATTGAAAAACAAAACCGCAGTAAACATGAAGAAATACAGGAATAAGAATAAAATTTTATTTTATTCATGCAATTCGAAATTTTGTAACTTCTCTATTTTGAATCACTAAATTTACATTAGAGTTCATTTGATTTTTTGGATTCACATGTTTTACCAAGGTGCTCACTATAAATGTTTTTGGGATTTGAACAATTCAGCGATTTGAGCAATAATCCCGTTCTTCAAAATATACTGTTGAAATTTAGTCTTTCTTTGATTTCTACTTTAACAATATTGACTTGGCTCTATCTAGATCTTTCTATCTCTCTATTTAGGAAACTTGTTATTACAATTCACGATACAATGAGTATTGAGATTTTTCTGTCGGGATATTTATTGGTATTCACATTTTTTATTGGGATTTACATGTTTAGTTGGGATTTACAAGTTTTGTTAAGATTCAGATTTGAATGAAAGGATTCAAATGTTTTTCGGGGTTTGCAGGTTTTTCTTTTTCAATTTAAAGGTTTAGATGGAAATCGCATTTTTATTGATATGTTTATTATTTGAATTCAAACATTTATTGGGATTAACATGTTTTCGGGATTCCCATGCTTTATTGGGATTCGAATGCATTGGGATTTAAACTGTTTATTTTGGATTTAGATGCTTTTTTGATTCAGATGCTTTTTTTATTCGCATATTTATTAGGATACCAGGACTGCATTAGTTCCAATCTTTATATTCTAAAACATAATCTTTTATTTTCTCCTTTATATCTGCAATTATTTTCAGGCCATTGGACAAAATGTTCAAGCAAATATACAACAAACCAATCCAGGACCAACCCAACCACTTATCATTTCCAAAGTAACCAACCGAGATATTAACCATCCAACCAATCATCTTTCCAACTAACCCACCGACTAAATATTACAAAGTAACCAACCTAGGAAAAAATCAACAAATCATTAACCATCCAAGTCAACCATCTTTAATTATCTCCAAAAAAAACAATTATACTAAACAAAACTCTAATTAACCAAGCATCCATCAATTGACCAGATATTCAGTTAACCAAACATTTATAAACAATCAAACATCCAACAAAAAAATATCCAAACATCTGATTAAACAAAACCAAACAACTTATTAACCAAATATCCAATAAACTAAGCATCCTGCAGTCATCCAAAAATCTAGATTACCAAATAACCAATCATCCAAATATTTAGTCTACCAAGTATCCAATAATCCTAAAATCCAGTTTACCAAATATCCAAAAATCCAGTTTACCAAATATCCAATCATTCAAAAATCCAGTATACCAAATATTCAATCATGCAAAAATCCAGTTTACCAAATATTCAAAAATCCAGTCTACCAAATATCCAATCATTAAAACATCCAGTTTACCAAATATCCAATCTTCAAAAAATCCAGTCTACCAAATATCCAATCGTCCAAAAATCCAGTCTACCAAATATCCAATCATTCAAAAATCCAGTTTACCAAGTATCCAATCATGCAAAAATTCAGTTTACCAAATATCCAATCATCCAAAAATCCAGTATACCAAATATCCAATCTTTAAAAAAATCCAGTCTACCAAATATCCAATCATCCTAAAATCCAGTTAACCAAATATCCAATCATTCAAAAATCCAGTTTACCAAGTATCCAATCATGCAAAAATTCAGTTACCAAATATCTAATTATTCAAAAATCCAGTTTACCAAATATCGAATCAACTGCAAACGTCTAATCAAATCCAATCATCCAAACATCAATCAACCAACAAATCAAACAAGTCATCATCTAATTAATCATAATCTCAATTTTGATGAACTTTGCATAAAAAATGCTTTGTTAACCTTTGAAGTTGAACACATTTCAAATCAATTTCGAACTGTCTGACAGTTTGTTCATCTGCAGTGCAGTGCATAGAAGGGGGGGGGGAGGCAGCCCATTCCTATAGAGCTTCCGACCCGCAAGCAACATCTTAAAATGGA